TCCTGGGTTGTTCGCCTCGCCGAAGGAGCGTGCCCGCTCATTGGCGTTGATGCGCCAATTGGCGTCCTGGTCCTTCAAGGAGGGCGGTCTCCACGAGCAGCTTGTTCAGTTTGAGGAGGCTGTGGCAAGCTATGAGACCGCGAGCTCCAAGGTGTACCCAGAGGACTTGGTTATTGCCAGCGTGGTTGGAGGGCTAAAAGAACCCCTTCAGTCACAGGTGCAGCTGAGGATGACAAGTACAACTACATATCCGGAGATCCGCTCCTGGATTCTCCAATACGAGGCGGTGAACACGCCGTGGTCGACGACACTCAGCTCGCGAGGCGGAGGTGGTTCGAGCCATGGCGGCCCTCAGCCTATGGAGGTGGACCAGATCTGGGCAAAAGGCAAGGATGGAAAAGGCAAGAAGGGGGACCCCAAGGGCAAAGGCAAAGATGGCAAAGGCAAGAAGGGCGACAAGGGCAACGGCAAGTACGGCCAGCCAAGTGGATGGAAGCAGCAGCCTGGGCAGTGGACTCAGCAAGGGCAGTGGAGCCAGCCAGGTGGATGGAAGCAACAGCCTGGGCAGTGGAATCAGCAAGGCCAGTGGGGCACAAAAGGTGGCGGTGGATACAAGCAGCAGCAAGGAGGCCAAAGCAAAGGCGGCAAGGGCAAGGGAAAAGGGCAGTGCCACGTGTGCGGCCAGACCGGCCACTGGAAATGGGAGTGTCCGTTCAAGGGCAAAGGAAAAGGGGTCAACCAGGTCGACGCGTCGTCTTCGAGCGCTTCGACGGCCCCGTCGGCAACCAGTACCAGCACGGCGCCCTCCTCGGCAACGGCTTTCAACAACAAGGACAAGGCAGGTGGCTATGGCGTGAACCGGGTGGAGGTTAGCCTGGGAACCCCTCCTGGCTGTGGGGTGACCCAGCTCTTTGACATTAGCGAGCTGGAGGATGGAGAGGACTTTAACAACTTCTCCTTGGAGCCGGCCGAGGTGATGATGATCCGAGCCTCTAAGCCCAGCTGGCTGGACACGCTTGATGAGGACTGGGGTGTGGAAGCAGCACCCTTGGCAGCCAGCCAAGGCCCGGAGGAGTTCGCGATGGATGCCAGCGACTGGGACGGTGATTGGACTGTTCCCTGGTACGAGCCCAATACGCAGGAGGAGGTGATAGTAAGCATCCGGGCTGTCAGGGCCCACGGGCGCGAGGTTGAAGTGGTGGTCGACTCGGGCGCTGATATTTCAGTGGCTCCCTGTGCGTTTGCCGACCTGGGTTCCCCAGGCACCCCAGCAGCCGTCACCATGCACGACGCCCAGGGCAAGGAGATCGTGGAGCTTGGCAACCGAGTTTTGGACATTGAGGTTCGCAGCCTCGAGGGCGAGACGGTGACGATCAGGGAGAAGTTCGCGGTGGCGAACGTTGGTTCGCTGATCCTCTCCCTTGGGAGGCTTTTGCGTTGGGGCTGGGAGCTAGGGCATGAAGGAGGAGGCCCGGTTATCAAGAGAGACGGGTGCCGCCTGCCAATCCGACTCAGGCGCAATACCTTGACCATGTTGGGCATCGTCTCCTTGATCAGCGCCTCTTGCTGCCAGCCAGCAGCAGAAGCAGCCACGGTGAATGCCGCGAGTGTGTTTGATGATTTTGGTGCTCTTCCCCCTGAGGCGGAGGAACTTGTTGCCCGGCCTGGGTGGCATATCCTGGGAAGTGGTTTGCCCTTCTTGGTGGCCCACAGAACGGAGACAATGCACTGGGAACAGAACCTCTGGTCCTCAGAGGATTGGTCTTGGGCAGCGGTGTTTGTGCGAGCAGAGCCTGCAACTAGACTTCCCCGAGCAGGTGACCTATGGTACCAGGTGGCTGCCCTGCAGACCAACACCCTGGAGGCAATCCCGGAGACGGTCAGCGACTTCAATGACGAGCTGGCCGGCCCTCGCGATGTATGTGTTCTTTTCCATGTTAGCGAGCTGCCCAAGGACCTTCTTAGCAGACCTCAGGAGTTTTTCAAGGAAAGCCGGGATGACAACGGGAACATGGACATTGCAGTTCCCTTGGGCGAGGTCGAAGGTGGAGCCGGCGCTATGCCTGAAGAGGTGGTTGCAGCAGAACGCGAGCTTGCTGAAGAGGAGCCCGACGGGGAGGTGATGGATGGAGCGACTTTGGCGTTCGAGACTCCTTTGCGTGATCTTCGGTCGCTTTGCCAGCGACAAGGACTGGCCACCAGCGGCAGCAAAGCAAAGGTGCTCAGGAGGCTCAAGCAGCATTATGAGGTGCTGGAGCGGCAGCTTGCGGGCCAGTTGGCCCACAAACTTTTCATGGAAGAAGACCGCCCTCCTGACCTTCCTCGTGCACCTCGGCTTCCTTCGGCAAGGCAACAGGACCTACACAATGCAACGCACCACCCCTACGCAAGCTGGTGTGAGGCTTGTGTTCTTGGGCGTGCCAAGGCTTCCCCGCACCAACACCAGAGCAACCAAAAGGGAGAAGCACAGGAGGAAGCTGATGATGGGATCCCGCTCTTCCAGATTGACTACGCCTACACCTTTACCAAGAAGCGGGCTGAGGACGACGGAGATGAAGAAAGGGAGCAAAGCGAGGAGCAGCAGGTGGACCCAGTGGACTACCAGGACCAGTACGGGCTTACTTTGGTTGGGGCTGAGAAGCAAACTGGCTGGTGCATTGCTATTCCGGTCCTGCAGAAGGGGTCGGCAGCTCTTCGGCGAGTTGTGGAGCAGCTGACGAGATACACCATGCAGGTGTGCCCGGCTGGACCTGTGATATTCCAAGGGGACCCGGAGGCAAGCATAAAGCAGATTGTGAATGCGGTGGCGGCCTGCAGAAGCAAGCTCGGCCTTGAGACGCAGACACGCTTTATCCCAAGGGCGTCGCGCCAAAGCAACGGCATGGTTGAGAAGATGGTCCAGACGGTGCGCAATGGAGGCCGAACTTTGCGGTGCTTTGTTGAAGAGCGGTGCAGGATAAAGCTTGAGGGCCACCACCACATATACAGCTGGGCTATGCACCATGCGAGCTTCTTGCAAAATAGATTCGCAAAGCCCGTCAGAGGAGCTCCCGCATATGAGCTCGTCTTCGGTCGTCGCTTCAAGGGTGTTATTCTGCCGTTCGGTGAACAATGCTTGTTCCATTGCCCCTCCAGGCACAAGGGGGACTTGCAGTGGCGGCGCGGAGTCTATGTGGGCCAGAATGAAAGGAATGCTGCGAGCATTCTTTTGACTCCCGATGGTGCCCATGAAGCCAGGAGCATAAGAAGGCTTCCGGTGGAGGAGCAGTGGAATGGTGAGTTTGTGGTGTCTGCGAAAGGGCTGCCTTGGGACTACCAAGGGGTGAAGAAGAGGAAGAGACCTCTCTACACGTCGGCGCGGCCGGCCCTGTTGCCGGACACGGCTTCCTTGGAGGAGCTGGCTAAGGCGGCCGGGGTCGCAGCAGCAGAAGCCATAGCAAGCCAAACCCCAGCAGCAGCGCCGCAGGACGAAGCAGGGTCGGACAGCCCAAGCAGCAGCAGCAGCAGCAGCACCAGCACAGGCACACGCCAGCATACAACAGGTCAAGCGCTACCTCCCACAGGCGGGGCATCGGCCCCAGAACAGTTCAGTGCAAGAGCGGTTGGTGAGGAGGAAGCGCGTGTGGCCATGGACACAAGCACAGCAAGAGGAGCAGGAAAGCGGGAGTCAGAGCGAAGGGCGGCCCCAGAACCCAAGAGACCGCGGCTTCTTTTGGATAGGCCACCTACCTCACCGGCACCAGCTTCAGCAGCGAGTGGAGCAGCAGCCAGCCCAGGAGGAGAAGGAGGACTCTTTCCCCCAGGGTTTGCCGGAGTTCGGGAGGTCACGGGCGACATCGGCCCAGAGGAGCTGAGTGGATTTTCTGCTTGGCAAGACGAGGTTGCCACGTTTGGAGGCGAGCTTGAGTTTGAGCACGGTGGTTCCGGTGAAGAGTGGGCCCCGGACTGGGACCCTGATGCTGAGAGGCCACCCGACCTTCAGGGCGAAGACCTGGAGCAGGTGGATCGGGCGGCAGATTTGACGGAGCTCACCAGACTCCTCCAAATGGGGGTGCTGAGAAAGCCGGGAGAGACCGAGGATGTGCGGCAGTACACCCACCTCACCACCAAGGTCGTGAGAGATTGGCGCAAGAGACCGGGGTGGACGCGAAGATCAAGGCTTGTCGCTAGGGAATTTCGCAGCAATGCTCCCTGGTCAGAAGAAATGTTCGCTCCTGCATCCAGTTTGGGGGTGGTCCACAGTTTCCTCATTTGGGCCATCTCGGCAGGCCTTGAGGTGGTAAGCCTCGACATAAAGGACGCCTACTTGCAGGTTCCTCAACCAGCACCTGCAATAATCACCGTCGACGCTCGGATCTTCTCAAAGGATGCAACTGGGGAGGTGACCTATGTTCTTGAGCGCCTCTTGCCGGGGCAAAGGATTGGAGCGAGCTCTTGGTATAACTTCGCCAGAGACTTGCTGACTGAGGCGGGGATGGAGAACTATGTGAAAGAACCGACTCTTTTCCGTGGCAACAACACCAAGGAGCGCTCAGGTATGATACTCCACGCAGATGACGGGTTGCTTGCCTCTTCGGCCAAGGAAAGAGAGCGCATTCTTGGAGTGCTCCGTTCCCGTGTGGTGCTTCAGGTGACCAATCCCTTGCTTAGGCCGGGAGATGAAATAGAATTTCTGAAGCGGCGCTATGTGTATAGCGAGGAGGGCATCGTGGTTTTCCCGAGCAACAGATATGCTGAGGCCCTCTTCGAGGGAGTTGGAAAAGGTGCCAAGCCACGTGACACCCCAGCAGACAATAGCTTCCTGGAGAAGGACACAAGCCGCGAGCTCGAGGAGACTGAGGCTCGCAAGTACAGGGAGGCCGTTGGAAGGCTTTTGTATTTGAGTCATTCAAGGGGTGACTTGCAGTTTGCAACATGTATTCTTGCAAGCAAGATGGCTCAGCCAACGGCTATGTCCTGGAGGTGGTTGCAAAGGGTGATTGGTTATCTCAAGAAGGTTCCTATGGTTGGTATTGTCTTGAAGCCGGCCAGCCCAGATGCCTGTTTTGGCTACGGAGGAAAGCCCAGCAGCCTGGGACCTGGAGCCAAGGTGGTCGTTGAGTCGATCACCGATGCTGATTGGGCAGGTGACAAGCAGACCCGCCGGTCCCGAACCTCAATCCAGATCTTTGTGGCAGGAAGTATGGTTGCAAGCTTTGTCCGGAGCCAGCGCTCCATTGCGCTGTCAAGTGGGGAGTCGGAGTTCATTGCTTTGGTTGGTGGCTCCTCCGAGGCTCTGTATATTGCCGACTGCTTGCGTTTTCTTGTTGAAGCGGAGGGTCTGGAGATAGAGGTGAGAAGCAGGTCGGACTCAGCAGCGTGCCGAGGGATCACCCAGCGAGTTGGGTGCGGCAGGGTGCGCCATCTCGACGCATCCCTCCTTTGGGTCCAGATGGCTGTGAAAGCCAAGAAGCTGGTCATTGGGACCGTGGCTGGGAGCTTGAATCCCTCAGACATTGGGACAAAACCGCTGGCAGGTCCCCGACTTCGTGAGTTGATGTTCCTCATGGGCGGCCGCACAGTAGACATGGAGCCTTATGGCGAGCAGGACCACAACGAGGCATGTGCAAAGCGGGGAATGGCCAAGGCCTTTAAGGAGATTCGTGACAGCAGCAGCACAGGCGTCAGCATACAGCACGTCAAGCGCTACCTCCCACTCCTGGTTTTACTTTGTCAAGCTGGACAAGTGGAAGGCTTGAGCCTGGCAGGTCCTCTCTTAGCAATGGTCGACAGCGAGTTGGTCAGCCTGGTCATGACAACGGTTTTCCTAGGGAGCTTCTTTGTGGCAATGTTCCTTGGGGTGCCAGTTGGTCTGTTCTGGGTCCTTGCTAAAGTTTGCTGCTGGCAGAGAAGAGAGAGGTATGGAGTCTATGTGGAGGTGGGAGTGCAAGCCAACTTGGGAATGTCCAAGAAAGAGGAGATCTTCCAGCAGGAATATGTGCAGCGTGTGACAGAGCTGCGTGGACAGTTGAGTGAGAAATGCGATGAAGTGAGAGAGTTTGAGCAGCTTGTAAAGCGGCTGCGAGGTGACATCAGGGCTCTTGAGAGAGAGCTTGTCACCACAAGAGCCAACACGAGGCTACCGGAAACGGTTGTAGTTGCTCCGAGAGGTGAGCGATATCATTTTCCGGGATGTGGGAACTTGACACATTCCTCATCTCGTGCGTACACCCCTTGCCTGCACTGTACGCGAAGGCAGGGGTAGACTTTTCCGTTAGCGCACACATGCCTGTAGACAGGAGGGCATGAGTGCGAGGCGGGGTGCAAGAATGTAGACCCTGCCCTTTGTACACACCAGACCGTCAAACTCAGATGCCGAAGCCTTTTGGATGAGAAGGAAAAGAGTTTTCAAAGTTTGATCTGCAGCTTTCGGGCTTGAACTTGCAGCGGAGCTTTGCTCCAAAGCTTTTTCTTGCCCACTCTATATAATTTATGCAGGCAAGGTCAGTGTTTCTCTTGGGCTTTGGCAGTGCCAAAAAAGGCAGTGCCATTCCTGGTTCCGAGTCGCCCGCAGCACTGTAGTTCGCAGGCTGCGTAGAAAAGCTAGTAGTTTCTCCTGACCACAGTAGTCTCGAAGTTCTTCATTAAAAGATGAAGCTTCTTGGCTGGCTGTAGTACGCTTTGGTAGAGCTCTTATACCATCTCTGAGTCGGAGATTGGGTTTTTCCTTGTAGGAAACTGGGAGGGGTGGACGAGTCGTTCGCCTTACTCCGGCAGCCAGTGGCTGCTTCGGCAGTTGCAGCCAGTGATGCTGCCCGCTACAGCTTTCGGCCAGTGGCCGATCAATTCGACAGCCTTCGGCCCGTGGCCGCCAGACGCCCGAAGATCGGGCCCGACGTTCACCCCCACTCTCGTGTAGGAAAAAAGAGAGACCGAGTGCTCGCAGTGTTAAAGGTTACCCGTACGAAAGTTTCGTAAGAGAATAAGTTTAAGTGCTTGGGGTTGGGTTTCGGGTTTGTTTAGGGTTAAATTTCTCTTGGGTGGCTCCGGTTTGACATTCTGTGCTTCGGGTCGTGTTTAACCTAAAAAATTTGTGTTTGGTGGCCGAGGTTTAACATTTTAAGGTTTATTTTTTGGCAACATCAGGGTGTAAGTGTGTCGGGTCGGGGGTGGGTTAAATTTTGCTTGGTGCTGAAGGCTTTTACTTTTAAGGTCTAGCTTTGGCGAGATAATGTCCTAAGTTGGGTTACGAAGCTTTGAGCTATGTGCATTCTACCGTCTAACTTACGTAGCCCCGAACACCGCGCAGGTCGAGGCGACCCAAACCGTCGACAACGGTGAGACTGCAGCCGAGGCAGCTGCAGACGCATGGCAGCTTAGAAGCACATGAACCGTGTCCCCACGATTCCCAGGTCATCACGGATTCGAAGACGAAGTCCTCAGAGCTCCACGGTGCAGCCACGGCTAATTGCACAAAGCTTTCTATCTCAATTGCGAAATATAGGTTAGTTAAGCCCAACGCAATTCAAGGACAGCCAGGACATCGCCGAGTCGAAGATATCCGAGCTCCAGAGTGTAGCCAAGGCAGAGTTCAGACTCCAGGACGTCGCCGAGCCGAAGACCACAGCATCCGAGCCCCACGTTGCAGACCAAGCAGATCAATGACGATTTTGTATTTTATGATACCTAGCTTGTAATCCCTGACAACTCCAGGACACCCAGAACATCGCCGACACGAAGACGAAACCCTCCGCCGAGCTCCAGAGTGCTGCCAAGGCAGAGTCAAGAAAGCTTTGTAGTTTATGAAACCTAGTAACTAAAAGCTTAAATGCCCCATACACAACTCCAGGACATCGCCGACACGAAGACGAAACCCTCCCCCGAGCTCCAGAGTGTCGCCGAGGCACAGTTAAGAAGACTTTGTAGTTTATGAACTCTAGTAGTAACTAAAAGCCCTGTTTAACTCCAGGACGGCGACACGAAGACGAAACCTTCCTCCGGGCTCCAGACTGTAGCCGAGGCACCGTTTAGAAAAGCTTTGTAATTTATGACATCTAGTAACTAAAAGCCCTGCTTAACTCCAGGACATCGCCGACACGAAGACAAAACCCTCGGAGCTCCAGAGTGTAGCCGAGGCAGAGATATGAAAGTTTAATTAG